AGAACAAAAAATCATCTTATTATTTAGCAAATTGGCTATGAATGATCGTAGCCGTTCGTAGTCGAACCCATCCCTAGCCAGGATTACTAAGATCCACCATTTCACCCAAATTATCCCAATCCTCCGGATCTGGCGGTTCTGACATATCCGAGATATCTGGCAGATCTGGGATTTCTGGACGAATTAGGATTTACCGAGTCACGTGGCCACGTGGTCACATTTCCGGTTTCACACTCATAGACAGAAATTCGTCTGATTGGCTGATGTAGATCAATTGCCCGGATAACTTACTTATACACTTTAAAGTACTTTTTGAGAAATGCAACGTTTCACTACTATGAAAAAAAATTTCTTTACACAATTCGCTTCGTTTTAGTGCCAGAAGACCACCTTTAAAAATAATCTTAAATTTAAGTGGTGTTGGCTTAGACGCAACTTTCTGAACTAGGTAAAGAAAAAAAAGGTTTTATATGAATTCTAAAAAAATAGTTACTAACAAATAGCAGGTTTTTTTTAGAGATCGGAATTTCAGATTTGGTTTTTGAAGCGGAATAAGTTTGTTAGTGGTGTTAGCAATAAGAAATTTAGGGTTAAAGCACTCTTAAGTTGGGTTGGTTTTTAAGTTTGGGTTTATAGATCGTAGATATGAGCTTGGGTTCTGTAGTTAGATTTAGTAAGTTCTGGTTGTTTTAGTAGTTGAACACCGCTTTTACTCCTCTTTACATACATTCGCCTATCTTTTATATGTACATAATCAGTATTTTAACCGTTTATTATAAACTTTTTTCTTGAAGCTTTTGTTTTTCAGCTGTAATATTGACGAATAAAAATTGTGTAATTTGATTGGTTAATCGTCACGTGTGGATTTGCAAATCGATCTTAAAAACTAGCCAATCAGGCAAACTTCTGTCTATCACAATTTATTATTTGCGCCAAAAAAGGAAATCGCATTTGTAAATAAACCAAGAAAGTTTAGGATTAGGACGTTAGGGTTAGTGTTATGGTTAGCATTAAGGTTGTGAGCTTTATATGTAAAATTTCTTTCCCATTATTTTTTATTAGTCCAAAAAGGTCAATTTAAACATTAGTTTTTGAGTATTTTCTCTTTTTCGGTGGTTTTCTTCACTTTGCTCACGTGTCGGGCTGATCCGGAATAATCACATTTTACATTCTCCGATTAGCCATTTTCTTTTTAGAGGTTTGTATTACCGGTGCAAATAAGTGGATACCATTTTATCATGCCGTGATCTCTGATCTCTTATACTGTACTTAAATTACCATTTTGGTTTAAAGAATTAACAGTGCAGTAATGGTAATGGGACCTTTGAGTATCTTGATTAAATTTGACATGGATATAATATATAGGAACAATATTCAGATGCAACAGTGCTAGTGTCACGGGTTCTGTGACACAGAGTTTAGAGAGGCGTAGTAGATTGTTTATTTATTATCATCTAGTATTTATTTATTGTAATAATGAATAACCCGGCTTGGAAAGCTGAAAATTGTAGTAAATATTTATCATAGGAAATTGTAGCAAATATTTATAATAGAGAATTGTAGTAAATATTTAGAACAAGAGTTGTAGCGAATATTTGGGTTGATAATTATGAGTAATGGGAGGCTTTTCCCACACGGGTTGTTGCAACCCGTGAAATAGGGCCAGGAAAGCCTTACCAAGGTTAAAAAGAAGGGAATTAGAAGTCTTTGCGCAGTAATGTAATAGAAAGGGAAAAGTATTTAAGAACCATTTTTTATCGTTAATAAAATTCCTTCAGATTTCGATGTCTTTAATGAGTTGAAAATAAGAGTCAAATTCTCACTTGATTAAATACATTTTGAATGCTATTGTTAAACGTTTTTATTTATTACATTTTATTTTCTTTTCTTATATTTTTATTATTTATTTCCTTCGTATTGTTATTTTTCTTGAATTGTTATTACGTGTTGTCTAAGTCCCTGACCTATCTATTAAGTCCTCACCATTATTATCCTTAAAACGATCTTATTACTCTATACTCAACCCACCCGTTTACTACATATAGACACGTCTTGTTGTGTCATAAACATTATTAACCTCAAACGCCATTATTAAAATACCCTTAAAGTTATCCTTAAATTACGTGCATAATCCAAATCGGGATTAATTTAGTAAGGACCCGATCCTCGTCTACCAAAATCGTGACCTTAACTCACGTGCTTAAGCCTATATTTATAGCTAAATCGAATCGCTTCTCCGCAATTGCTCTCCCAACAATAGTAACAGTATCGATTTAACAGTCAATATTATAGCGGCAGGTAGTACGGTGATCGTCACCACCGGTTGTTTTAAGTAATTACTTTTTTGAAAATAAATATAATCTATATAATAATATTGATAAATTATAAATAAATAAATTATAATTTTAAAATTATTAAAATTACAAATTAGATAAATACCGTAATTAAATTCAAAATTGCAATAAATTGCAGTCTCTATAATAATTTAAATAAAAAGAAAGTTTTTAAAAAGTGTAATCTTACAGTAACATAAGTTGATTCAGAATCTACAGATGTTGATCTACCTACAACATATACAGTATAATCCGAATTTAAATAGTTTATTTTTAGTATAAACCAAATAAATGTAAATAAATTTTCGTGTTTCGTGACAGATAATTAATTCATTTGTCAGGACTTTGTTCTCTAATTTGCTTAAGATCCTATTAAAGAAAATAAAAAACTCCAACCTCCGAATTAATCATTAGATTTATTAATAAAAAAAAGAAAAATTATTTTTCGAATTAAAATGATCCAAACTGAAGATTTTGTGACCCTTTTATTGAGCATGAATAAATGTTATTTACATATAATACCGTAGTAAAAATGCTACTGAACCGAAGACAATTTTAATATTGAAACATGATGGAAAATCCGCAAAAACTGCGTTAGAAAATTTTATTTGCAATTGTAGAAAATCTCGTAATATCCCAAAGGAAAAATTACTTCACTATATCATGTACAAATACTTTATAATTTTGCAATAGGTCACATTTTCACCTCAAGCAGCTTCTTGGCCAGTGATAAAAAAAACTCTTTCATGACGGCAACTATGAACAAACTCAAAGAATTACACGTACGTAATAAAAAAAATGAATGACCGTTAAAAAAATAAAATGTTAACAGGAAAATAATTTTCTTTTCTTTTTTAAAGTTATATTTCTATATTTTAGAGCAAATAAAAGCTAAATGATTTTATTTGTACAATATAAAAATTAAGTCGTGTTTATTAGAAACTTATATTAAGCGTTAAATATTAGGTAGGGGGTTTCAAAATTAAATTCAGAAAATCTTATTTTATTTTTCTGATTTATAATTTAATATAGTAAAAATGCTATTGAAAAAAACCCTACATATTTTCAAATGCGTCATTTGAAACCTCATTATTATTGTTAATATTTGTAATCTGAGATTGACGTAACCTGCTTCAGATTTTCTATTTACCTAAAGAAGAATACGTGACAATGTTTTGATGATTCTCGATCGGAATAAGAAAAACAATTCACGTTATTATTTATTATTTCAATTTACATTACTATTTGTATTACCAATTAAGACCATAACAATTTTAAACGTTAAAAAAAATTTGTATTACTGAGATTGCCTAATATTACAAGTTATTTGACAAAGTTACAAACCATATTAAGGGTCTTTTTTTTCTCATACACGCATATATTGTGCAAATTTTCGGAGTTGATTTCCACACAAACAGTAGTAAATTCGACATTTTCAATGGGTAGCGTCTATATTTAGAGTCCGTTGGTTTCCCGTGATTTCACACGATCATCTAGCAATAATGAAATAACGGGCATGAGCGTTATTTAGAGGTTTGGCCCGAATTCAGCTTAATTTAGGCCGAAATTTGTAATTTCACCCCTGCGTGTTATTTCGCGAAAATACGGTAAATAAACTTGAAATGCTTTAAAAACTTATGGGACTTTCTTATTTATTTGATGAAATTGGTTTTGAAGAATTCATACAGTGTAGCAAAAAGGTACTGTATGCGCTTTAAGTTGAATTTTCTTTGCAAACAGAATTTACAGTAACTAATTATACGATTCCATTTCAACCTTCTAAAATTATCAATGATTAAAATTATACCGAGATATCTCCAAATTAGAGATTCATTTACAATGTTTTGTCTTACATTATTGAATTTATTTAAAAGTGGTAATCAACTTTTGAAAATAAGAATAAACAGAAATGAACTCCCTCCTCTTACTTTTGACCATCTTTACCATCGTTGTTTCGGAAAATTCAATTGATTTTCTAATTTGGTGAAGCGGCAATTAACTTTAAAATCTGGCGAAGCTTGTGTGTTCAATGCCCGTAATAATGCTGCCGGACTGGGCCACATGGCGTGGGTTTTTCAGTATAATGCTAGCACTTACATCTATGGTTCAGATAATGGCCCACTTCCGAATAGTAAAAAGAAAGATTGGGCGCAAGCTGAAGGAAGCCGTAGTGCCATGCTAAAATTTTTCAAAGACTATATATTTCCCCAAAACTACCGCTATACCTATTATAATTGCGAGAAAGTTGCAATTCCTAATCCTTCCTCAGCATACATTCAGACGAATATATCTAAAGAACAAGATTACCGTTTATTTGGCTGTAATTGTCTTGATGATACTATAGCCATCTTGACTGCATACAATGCATCTGGAGTTCCGCCAATAAGCGGAAAACTTAAAAGTCCCAATTCATGGTTTGATAATTTAGCTAAAGTTGGCAACCCTCAAGGAGGTCAATGGTCGACCAATAATAAAATACCGTGTTGTTGATGTCTAACATGCAAAATCTTTCTAAACTTTACTGAGCCTAAATATAAGAAGCCAAGCATTTAACCAAATAATCTAATTTTATATAACTTATATACTGTGTTGGTTTATGGGGTCTAAAATAGTCAAAAAGTCTATTCTATCACAATTTTTTTTATATAGTCAATATTATTCTTTAAAATATATTTCAGGAAAATTATTAATAATCTCAAGATATATGTCGCGTTGTTATTAACTACCTATTATTTCGGCAGGTCTTTCATTCATAAAACCCTACAAAAATTGGTTCATTCGTCTAATCAAATTTCAAAATTAGGTGTAACGTAAAATCGAAATTGTTCCTTGTAAAATTTTAACTCTGCCTTGATTTTATTAGTTTATTATTTATTATTATTACTGATTTTTGTGATTTACAATCACTTGTAACACTATACATTTAAGAAAAATTCATTTTAATATTAACCTAACCTTTATCTTAATACGTATTAACCCAACCCAATCTTGATCTCGAGGTCAGCCTTGATCTCACTGCTGAGATTAATACTAACCCAACCTTGATCTAATTTAGTATTAACGTTAGACGTCACTTTGCCGCTTTTAAAATTTGACGTGCTGTACGTACGTACGTACGTCATTTTAAAATGAATTATTTTTTTTTTAATACTACATGAATATTATATATCGATATTTATTTAATCATTGAATTTGCGTTAACCTTTATTATGTTATTAAAACTACTCTAATAAAGCACTTTGTTACAAGAAGTTTTTTAAAATATAAAGAATATTTAGTACTTTTGTACCTCGGCGAACACAGCTACATTGAAAAGTATTAAAAGCATTGTTTTTACGACAAGAACAGCTCTTCACAATATTTTTTAATCACATGGCAACCATTTCTTGTATCTTGACTGGTGATTCAATAGAAACTTTACGGCTTAAGATGTAACATCATTGGGACGATTTTATTGCACCACCAATATTGATCAATTTCTTGATTAGATGTTGGCTCATGATATTTTGAAGAGGTCTTATTGGTTGCATTATGTTTTGTTGGGTACTTTATCTGATTGAACGTTCATTTCTTCAATAGTACCAACTAATTTAAAGGTAATAGGAATCCAATATTTAAAGTTTAGGCTTTCAAGTTTATTGACGCGTTTTGTAAACAGCTAGATAACAATCGTCGATCATTTATATAGTTACAATTTTTTCAAAGGTTGAAGTGGAATATTCGGAGCCATATTGTAAAGAAAATAAATAATAATAATAATAATATATATTTAAAATGCTTTATTAAACTTGTCCCTTTTTGTTATAAGAAGTGCTTATTTTCGGATATAATTTTAAGAATTAATAATAGAGGATTTTGTACTGAGTAAACCTAACTTACTGTTTCTAAGTAAAGTTATCCATCAGATAAAGACGGTTCTAATGGTGGTAAAATTATCAAAATTAGACTAGTAGAGCTTACACAAGTGCTTTTCAAAGTTCGGGCGACATTTGTTTACACGACCTGCAGAATATATAAGCCAATGTAAATAAACATCGCCTGAAAACTCTACTGGACCAATTTTGATAATTTGCCACATTAGAATCGTCTTGATCTGGCGGGTAGCTTTACTTAAAAACAGAAAGTAGACTTAGTAAAAAAACCGATACGATTATACTTAGGGGGGGTGCATATTTTCGGATATTATATACAAAATTCGGTATGGTACGGTATTAAAATTTGATGTACATTACGTTACATTTTAATCGGTATTAATTTTAAACTCACGTACGTACTGTACGTCAAATTTTAATAAATGGTCATTTGAATGCGACGTCTAACATACATAAAATAATCCTTTCATGATGTAGCTATTACAATAATTTAATTAATAGCTTAATAAAAGTTAAATTATGTATTAAAGTTAAGCTATAAATATAAGTTACGCCATTGATTAAAGTTGCGTAACTAATTATTTTGGATTTTGCCACAACTGTAACCGTAACTTGTCGTATCTCAAAAAAACTCATTGGGGACGATTCTATTGCATCACTAATTAGGACTAATATCTATCTGTTTAATATTTAAATTTTATATTAGGGTGATTCAGAGTTAAGGTTCAAGTTTCTGATTTCGAATTAAATTAGTGATGATTTGTAAGCTTATTTATATAACTTTTTATGGTCGTGAATTTTCTTTTGAAACTTGACATCTTTTCACATATATTTTAAAATGCCTTATATTAAAGACATAAATAGTATTTTAGAAACACTAATAGAAGAATAGTACTCATAAAATACAACTAATATTCTCGAAAAAGAAATCGATGAGCTGTTGGAACTAATGTCTCACGTTCTTTTCTTTAATGGTTTGTTTAAAAGTTTTTTGGGGAGGTATAATTAATATTAATAATTCGATAATAAATATGTAATATTAAGAATTTTTAAGCGATAATTTGTAGCGGTAGTTCTTTATTAATTTATTACGATAGAATCATATGATAACATACATCATTAAAAAAAAGTTTACTCATTTTATCTCCGATAACTCAGAACTTATTTTCGAAATAAGTTAGTAATAAAAATACCCCGATCACTATATCAAGATCACGGGGTATTTTATATATAAAAGTTTAATGACCAGAAAATTACCGTAAATTCTCGAAATAATGCTCAGGGTAAATTTACGAAATTTGGCCTAACGCTAAATTAAGCTTAATTCGGGCCAAAGCAAAATAACGCCCATGCCCGCTATTTTGAGAATTTACGGTAACTTTGCATGCCTTTATTCAAATTTAACTTTATTTATTTAAAAATTTTAAATTTTTATAAACAAATTACAAATATAATAATATTTTTGGTACAAATTATACTATTTATTAGTTATTCTAGAAAAGTATAACATTTCATCTTGATATAAAACTAACATTGCATAATATAATTAACAAAACAATATATCAAAATCAGAATATTAAGCAAATATATACCAATAGAAAGGGGGTAGATCTCCTTTTTAGATCTGATCAACATTTTGAGAAAATCATGTTTTTGTTTTTGTGATCAAAACAATGATCAACACTGATCAACCAGTCCGAACCAAATTGGGCTAGACTCATGTGATCAGAACTGTTGTCCGATTTATTCCAAAATTAAAACTATGTATCGGTTTTAATATTCACATTTATCAAGAATATTTAGATCAAAAATTATTTAATACTTATTAATTCAACAACATAGATGTTTATAGTGATAAATATTATGGCCAAAATGAGCACTCTAAACACTCCACTTAGGCCGGTCGAACTTAATTTTTTGGTTAATATCACCCTCTCCTTTGATGTCCCCCAGTAAAATGATCATATAAAAAATAAAAAATAAATTAAAATAAATTAAAATAAATTAATTTAAAAATCAAATTAAATAATTTAAATTAAAATAATTTAAATTAAATCAAAATAAATTAAATTAAAGTTTAAACCCGTGGCTTTTATAGTCCCGGCTAATTAAATAAAAAAACAAACTTTTTTTTAAAAAAAAACGAAAAAAAAGGATATTTAATAAAAAATAAAGCTAAAATTTTTAGTTCTTACTTGGTTGTCCTCTCATATATGCTTATTTC